CTACCAAAATCTTATGAAATCATGTGACATAATAAGGTAATAGGCTGGCAAATCCTAACCATAATTTGTCTGCTTGGTGCACATATTGATGATGAAAAAAAAAAAACTTTTTTTAATTAATGGAGATTGATTCGTTAATTATATCCTAATAATTTGACATGTGATGTTAGACTATCAATTTCAATTGAGTTCTTTGATTTGATCCGCTTGTTTAGAAGACATTTAATTTGATTTTCACCCGTTTGTTAGATCCATTCCNCCATATAGTCATATACCCCCCTAAAATTTGAAATTTCCATGTTCAACCCTTAAATATTTTTATCTAATTGTCATTATGCTCCTTAAAAATTTAAGAAATAAGTTCAAGTTTATGAACATATGTATACTTAAACTTTTATTTATCTATTATTATAATATTAATTTATCTTTTATTTTGCTATTTTGTTCATTAAACTACTTTTAGTCTCAAATTCTTTTCAATATTCTAATATTTTATTTCAACATAGAATCTTGTTAATGGATTTTGAAGAACTTGTCTCTAACCATGATTCAATTTTCATTTTTTTCCCTTATTTTTTTTTTTATTATCTTACAAAAATAAAAGAACAATACTTTTACAGCATTGATAAGAAATAATTATATTATTATAGTGTTCTCTAAAATTTCCAAGCTACTTGTCTCACAGTCTATCACTAAATATACACATGTTCTATATTTGAATGGACATATATATGTTCGTTCCATAAATTTTTTTTATCAAAATTATATATATATGTGTGTGTGTGTGTGTGTGAATATGGTTGGTATGTGAGCCTAAACTAAAGCTTCAAGAAACAAAATGCTACCAAACTCTTATGAAATCATGTGACATAATAAGGCTGGCAAATCCTAACCATAATTTGTCTGCTTGGTGCACATATTGATGAAAAAAAAAACTTTTTTTAATTAATGGAGATTGATTCGTTAATTATATCCTAATAATTTGACATGTGATGTTAGACTATCAATTTCAATTGAGTTCTTTGATTTGATCCGCTTGTTTAGAAGACATTTAATTTGATTTTCACCCGTTTGTTAGATCCATACCCTTTTGGAGCAATCACTATCCGATCAGCAATATTTAATAGAATTGAAACACCGCCCATATTTGAAAATCACTAGCCAACCTCAAAAAAGGGTTGCCATTCTTTCAGATTACATGTCACAAAAGCTTTTCATTTCAATATGTTATAATATAACAACTTCAAAAAAGTTTGATACATTATGAATACTATTAAGCATAGTAAAAAAAATTATATAATTTCTTCGATCTCAAAAATAACGGTCTTAATTCCTATTTTTATTTTTATGAACCGACTCCAAGTTGAAGAAAAAATCAAATATTTGTTGATTAAATCATTCACCACATAGTTTGATCGATTTTTTCTTTTGAAAAACTAATAAATTCTTAGTTTTTTTTTTTTTTTCTTTATTACAATCTTTTCTATCAATAACCAATAAAATTCGAGGTCCATTTGGTAAATTATTCTGATACTTTTTATAACAGTATTTTGAAGAAAAAGTTAAATTTAGTGGGTATTATGATGTAGAATTTAAAAATTAACAAAAATACCATCTATATTTGTTTATTTACTAAACACCTCTATAATAAATATTAAAAATTAACAAAAACACCTCAAACTTACCCATTAAATACGGACAGCCAGCCACCACCGCCGGAGGGTGGCCGGAGTCGTCGTATCGGCGCATGATCGGCTGGATCTTGTCGGTCATACGCCGATATGGCCTTTTCTAACCATATCCACGGTGGATTTGGCCGAAAACAACTAGATGGCTACATTTGGTCGTCAATGACAGCCAAAGATACGGCTGTTGTTGACGACTGGCTATGGCCAAAGATCTGGCATTTTCTGGCCAAATCCACCGTAGATCTGGCAGGAAAATGCTAGATCGACGCACTACCGGCCAGATTCAGTCGGTAGTACTCCATTATACCAGATTCCGACCAGCTTCTGGCAGTGGTGGCTGAAATCTGGTAAATGTGGGTTACTAGCGTGTTTTTGCAATTTCTAAAAAAAAATATTTGGGAGTGTTTAGTTAAATTAACAAATTTAGGGAGGTTTAAAAACAATTGAATAATATTTTTAGAATAAGCCAATTTTACTGTTTAACTTTATTGAGAAAACTCATAATGCTATTTTCAAGAGTGAATCGAACGAATCCTTATGTTTTTGAGAATATTCATTCTCATTGTCTATTGAATGATCCTCGGTTGCCTATCATTAAAGAATATAATATAGATTAGTTAGTCATGAAGACTTTATATAATTTTGTTAAGTTAGAACTTAAAGGAGATCCTAACCATTACTTATCAAGTTATTAGTTAAAATTAATAGAGATTTTATATTACGGAAGAGAGACCGGTGGTTAAAAAAGTCAAAATAATAAAAAAGGAAGGGTTTTTTGGTCTTTAGGCAAAATCAGGATATTAACAAAATTTGAGCTAATTAATGTACTGCATTTGAATTTGGACGAATCCGATAATGCAATTGGATGAGATTTTTCTTTCCATTTTATATTTTACCAAAAATATATTTACTTTTTTTTTTTTTTGATCTTTTTGATTTGGCCATTCATATCCGATAACTTCATTTATCTTATTCAATTTTTAATAATTCATCATTCATCTAGAAATAATCATTTCAACGAGACAATTAAGACCCTGTTTATTTTCATTTTCCTCAAAAAATGTTCACAAACAGGGACGCAGCCACTAAGGGGTGAGTGGGGGCCCGGGGCCCCTGTTCCCACTGAGCTTTGGAAAGTTTATTATACCCATATACTCTATATATTAACATTAACACCCCTGTATTTTATTTAATCGAACTAGCCTAAATCCAAGCATTATCACCATTTTTATTTTATTTTGTTCTTATTAAATATCAAATATATTTTAATTTGTGTCTTTTGTTATTGCATAAAATAAATACAAAATTATTTTGTATACGAAGATTCATTAACAAAACTTAATGAATTAAAAAATACAAAATATAAATTTATATATTTTACCAACTTATCAACCAACCTTTTGACTTTATAATTCCATTTGATTTTTTTTTTTTTTTGTTTTTTTGTTAAAACATCTTTGAATTTAATCACTTCTTCCTTTTTTTTTTTTTTATTTCATTGATTTTATGTAGTTAAATGTATTTCCCATAATTTGTCTATGAGATAAAAACATTTATTGGCCTTTTATTGCATAATTGAATATGTAAAGTATCACCTATAATTCAATGATTTTATTTTTCATAAAATTTATTATCATTTATTTGATTTTTAGTATATTTTTTTCCAATTTGAAAATATTTGTTATTCAACGCAATTTCTTTGTTTTCATCTTAAAATCTTGTTTTTATAACAAAAAATGAACAGTTTTCATATTTTAAAGACACACAATTAGATTTTATTTTTATTTTTGAAAATAAAAATATAAATGAATGACACCTAAAACATAAATTAAGATATGAAAATTTCATTTGAAATTTTTAATTTTATGCTTCCAAAGGAGTGGTTTGCTTTTGTATAGAAGAGCTTACAATAAGAATAATTGTTTTTTCACACATATTAATGTTATACAAATTAGATAATTAATTGCCTACATATTAAATAATTAACTGCAAATTGAGAACTGATTAAACATATATAAAAAAAAATAAGATGATATAAAATCATATAACAATATTAGTTTTATTATGAATATTATAAAATTATTTAAGTAAGTTATTATGGATTATAAGAAAATTTAAGATGATCTTCACAGTATTAAAAAAGATATGTTAATAATTATTGACAATAAACTTACTTAAATAATAAAATTAATTTTAATCCTTAATAACAAAAAAAATAATGTTTGTGAAAAGTAACTATCGTAAGAGTATAAATTATGAGTAATATTACACATACATCATTTTTATATAACTTTATGTGGTAAAATATGATTAGTTGATTTTAAATAAAGAGTAAACTTTTACTCAATCATCTTTTACCACATAATATTATATGAAAAATGTTGTATGTATAGTATTATGCATAAATTATATAACATAGTAAAAATAAACAAAGCTTTTTATTTCTTAAATGTTTTATAGAATTGTCAAATTTTGATATTTTTAAATCATTTAATATATTTAATAATTTGATCATATGAGAAATATCGGATATTAACTTCCTTTTGTTGCAGGGGAAAAATTAGAATAAGGTATATTAGTCATTGTACCAAGATTATGTGTCCAAATTAATTTTTTATAATTCATTTGTCAATAATAAGGGTGCAACTGTGCCACTATGAAGCCAGTGGGTCTTCCTTTTCTCTCTCTAGCATTATTTTTGCGATATTTAATATAAAACTAATAAAGAAATATAAACCGACAATCATTATTATTTTTGTGATTTAATAATGTTATTGGATAAGTTTTTCTGCTATATTTGTTTCACAAAATAATTTGTTTCCAATATAGTTATTTTCTTTTGAAAACAATACATTTTAAGGAAAAGCGTTTGGTTGAAAATTGAAGTGGGTTGAATCGTTTTATAAGGGGAGAACAACATTTTCCCACCTAAGGTTTGGTGGAACGGAACTTTTCCACCCGTTAAGTTTTAAAATGATACTTTCCCACCCACCATTATGCTCTGTTAGAAAAATCTGTTGCTATTTGATTGTAAAGACGAAAGTATCCTTTATTATTTGACTTCTTATTCTTTTATTATTTTATGTCATGTCAACATAATCAATTACCAATATACCCTCTTTAAATATGAAATTATTGATATACCTACCAATTTATCCCTCTAGTTTTTTATTAAATATAATGTCTTTAAAATTATCAATTTGTCCTTGTAGTTGCTGCAACCCTATTTATATTTATATTTAATTTTTGTCAATTTAACCCCAAATAAAACTAAGTATTAGCATTACCAATTTGCTTAAATAAGAATCCAGATTGTAAAATTACAGTGCATATATATATGAGAAATTTTGTCAATTCAAACCCAATAAAAATAGGGAATTCAATACAAGAAAACAACTTTTCCAGTTTCTCATTCATTTCTTAAAATCCAAAAAGTTTTGCTTTCATCCTCCCACTTTCTAGCTCCTTGAATCTTTCTTTTCCTTTGCTTTATGGATCTTCAAAACCTTCTTCACAATCTTTTGCTCTTCCACCAAGAACGCTTGAATTTGATGTATTATTTTCAACCGAAATTACCATCTTCAGTACCTTTGCAACTGTCTTAGGAGGGTATTCTCCATTTAACTTAGCATCAATGCATTGCTTCACCTTATCTTCGCTGAGTTTTGGAGTTGCCTAAAACAATCCAGATTGCATAAAAAACAGCTTCAATGAAGCTTACACATATATGAATTTGCTAGCTACAATATAGAGAGTAACAAAATAGAAAAATATGTATGTTCCAAAATGAGTTAGTGGTAGAAAAGAACAAAGATGAAGCTCATACCCATGTCACAAGGGTTTGCTGTCCACGCGGCAGTGATAGGAGAGATGAAATCATTGTCAGGGCGGCATTGGAGATGCTGCAAATGGCATATTAATTAGCACAGGAAGAATGAGGATAACCTTTTGATTTTGAAAATTGAATATCATCTTCTATTCATCTCTCGAATTTGTTTGACACTAGGCTTCCACAACCATCAATTACAACACTTTATACTTAAACCAATTATGATATGCAAAGAATACCAGAATTCTCAAATATAAATGATCACCCATCAGCTAGAAACACCTTACATGACTTATAAGTCAACCCACATAATGATCTTTATTGGTATCGTAGCTAAGAGTTGAAAACATAGAAATAATATGACACCACTTACCATGAAGAATGGCACGAAGAGATCCTTTTGAAGTATGCTAATAGACAAGGACACGTAGAGGGCCATCAATGCAAAATTCAACAAGCTCAACAACATTTTCTTGTTTAAGTCTTGATACCATGGAAACCTGTAAAATCATGTGTGAACTATTAAATTCGAAAAAATATTTATTGCGACACAATAGAAGAACTGAAGATAATGCACAATAATAAGCCAAACCTGTGCTAGAAATTCTAGGTCTGGTTGCTTACTGGAATCTAATTTCTTGATGGCTGCAGCTACCCACTTCTCACAACACCGAAATACACTCTTCCATATGAGCCCTCACCAATTAATGAGTCAATTGTCTGAGATACCTCCTCCACTCTCGTCAATTGCAATGAACCCCTTGACAATAAGGGGAACAAACAGGAAAAGGATGTATACCTATACTGCCACACATAAATTTAAACTCAATATCAACAAGACTACAATATGAAAGGCGTAAATCCATCTATTGGTGCTACAACTGCATCTCTGTTCCAACTCAAGAAAATCTACAACCTCTTGGTAGGCACAAATTTAAACACCGATTTTTGCCATCAGAATTAACACAGTTTCTTGGAGAGATCTGCAGCCACCTAATATATACTACCAAATTAGAATTGATTATATAAAAGCAGAGTCAACAATTTAGAAATATCAATTTTGGACTTTGGTGTTGATTACAATTAATAACATAACAATTTTGAAGTTGCAAAGCATTTTCGTGACAGAATATAAGATCACCAGTGGAACATCAAAATTTTTATCTCAATTTTACAAGTCCAAGTTCTTGAGAGTCTCTAACCGTCCAAATATATTGTTAACAAATCACTGATTTTATAGCGATAAATATGTCTATGAGGCATAAACAAACAAATTATCAAAAAGGATTAAAATTTCATTCATATTTTCATTTCCAAAGCAGTGGAATTCAACGAAAATAAGCTATGTGATTATATCATCCTAAATTAACCAAAGTTTCAACTTAGCCCAAGTACTAACAAACCACAAAAATACCCAATTTTAAAAACTCCCAAATTCAATCCCTTCACCATAATTTTCCCATGAACCAAACAGCAAAACAAACACTTACGCAAGAATCCATTTGTCGTTAAGCAAAGTTAACGCCTCAGTCAGTGTGGGAGTCGAATTCTTAGCTTCAAGCTGTGTGATAAGCTCAACAATTTCTGCTCGTTTCGCTAGTCTCCGTCAACCCACGATCGGTCCCATAGAACGAATCTACTAATGCCTTCTTCAAGTTATCAATCTCCCTCACTGGGCTTCCCCTCCTTTACCACGGCCACGGCGCCACCTTCTTCCTCCTTATCGGGACCCCACTCGTCATCATCCACGACCCCAGTTGCTAGTCGCCAACCCTAACTGTTTAAGCTTTAGTTACAGAGAACAGTGAGAAAAGGCAAATGTCTTTTCGTTCACCCTTTTTTTTCTGGGTCAACTTTAGTGGAACACCTGGCAACCATTCAGGCGAAGTTACCACTGATTGAGATTTCAATTTTTAAATTTTGATTTTTGCAGCTTCATGTAACATGACCATCTTACCCTTCTTAAAAATGGATTTTTCTAACTGAACATAACGGTGGGTGAGACAGTATCGTTTTAAAACTTGAAGGGTGGGAAAGTGTCATTTCGCCAAACCTTGGGTGGGAAATAGTCGTTCTCCCTCTTATAAAAGTCAAAGGCAGCGAACGCGGGTGGCTCTCCGTGGCTCTAGCCTAGGTCATTTTTTTTTCAACTCTTTCAAAATAATTTTGATGTTTTGCCCTTACAAAAACTGATTTTTGAATATAATTTTAAAAATTAAAAAAAAAATTGTCGACTAAGAAAGGTTTCTAGTAAACGTATTTTTATTTAATAAAAAGATCAAGAAATCATTTTGCTTTTTAAATTATATTGTAATTTTTGAAAGTTATTCTCGAATCCCAAACTAGTAAAATGCTTGTTTCTAGCTATTATCTTATGTGACTAAAAAGAAATATACACATGTTTTATTTAAGACCATGTATTTGGTCTTTTTTAGTAAGCATTAGTTGGTTTTAGAAATATAACCTTAACTCCATGTGTTTGGTTTTTTTGTAAGCACCTATTGGTTTTGGAAATGCAACACTAGCCCCCGCTTGTTTGACCTTTTTTTGTAACGAATACCTATTAGTTTTGAAAATGTTATCAATTCGACCTTCAAATTTGTAAACAATTCATAATTTAATCTTCATGAACCACTCAACATTATTAACAGATTTTAAATTTTAGATGTTAGATTGATTAAATTTGGGTGAATAGTAAAAATATTATTTCCTTCAAACTTAAATCAATTAACCTAACACTCTCATAAAGATAGGGATTAAGGTCATATTTCCAAAGAAAACATGGTCTCACTACAAAAAAGATAAAACACACATAATTAAGATGGTATTTCCACAACCAAGGGTGTTAAAAACAGGCCCAAATTTAGTGGGTTTACTTAAAGGGAGAATCACATGTTCCTACCCCAAGGTTTGGCGAAACGATACTTTCCCACCCATTAACTTTAAGGTTCAAAATGACACATTCTCACTCTTTGTCAGATTCTGTTAGTGTTTTTTTATTAATATTTGATTGAAAATATGAAAATACCCTTAAATAGTTTATTATAAATTAAAATTTAGTTTAAGTCAAAGTCTTTACTCGATTATTTATTAGTTCAAGTGTAAAAATGTTTTTTTTCATTTTTTATTTAATTAATTAGGAATATTGATTTTCTATGTTAATTAGTAAAAATAAAAAACATTATATTATGAAAAAATTATAAATTTAGTAGATAATTGAATAATAGTGATGAGATATTGATGACATTACAAATAAATAAATAGTAAGGTCATTTAATTTTAAACAATTCCATAGTATTACTGTTAATTTTCTAGAGGTTAACTATTTTTTCTTTTTTAACTTTTTAATATTTGACTTTTTGGCTAATTAAAAACTAATAAAAATTTTATAAAGTTAAATATTTGAGGGTATTTTCATATTTTTAGTAAAATATTAATGAAAAACATGACAGAACCTAATGAATGGTAGGAAAGTATCATTTTGAAACTTGAAGGATGGGAAAGTGTTGTTTCGCCATACCTTGGGTGGGAAAATGTCGTTCTCCCTAACTTGAAAAAGAAAAACATTTTAAAGAGTCCAAGGAAGTGGCAAGGGTTACGTTTAAAATTCGTAAGCTGGCCCATATTGCAAGGCATAGTGCCTGTGGGATTGATTATTATTATTACTTTATTTGAATTTAATGTGCTGATGACGTGGCCATTTCGCACCAATATTTTTATTTTGCCAAAAGTTAAAAAAATCGGACGGCTCACTTTTAACTTACCTTAAATCTAAATTTGAACTAGGACTGTAAACGAGCCGAGCCGGCTCGCGATAAAAGCTCGTTTAGAGCTCGGCTCGATAAGGTTCGGTTCGATTCGACTCGAACTCGGTTCGTTAACTGAGTCGAGTTCGAACACAGTAAAGCTCGACTCGTGGGCTCGCGAGCTCGGCTCGGCTCGATTAAGCACTGTACACTTAATAGGGTGTTTTGGTGATTTTTTAAACTATTAGGTATTAAACTGATATTTTTCAGTGAAAAAAGTTTAAAAAAATGACAGTTTCCCTCCCAAAAGTGCAAATTTGAAATAACACGATACATCAAAACAGAGCGTCAATTACTCAATTTCAGTTCCCCATCCCAGTTGCCCTAAATCCCAAATCGCAATCAAAGACCCCTAAATCCCAAATCGCGAACCAGACACTCTGAAATCGATAATCTCCTAGGAATGTTATTTGTATATATTCAGAACTGTTTTTTTATTTTGTAAGGTAATAGACATTTTGTAATGTTCAAAACTATTATGGTTAATTCAACATTGAATGTAAATATGAAATGTTGTATGTAGGCAGATTGCTGTAAAAAATGGGAACTTGGCTCGATCAAACCCGGATAAATGGTGGTTTGATCGAGCCTTATCGAGCTCGATAACGAGCTCGCGAGCCCTTATCGAGCTCGAGCTCGACAAGGCTCGCGAGCTCAATATCGAGCCGGCTTGCGAGCCGGCTCGAGCTTGAGTCTCAATTTTGAGGCTCGCCAGGCTCGAGCTCGAGCTCGAGCTCGACACTGTTGTAAATAAGTCGAGCTCGATAAGCCAAAAGTTCGAATCGGCTCGGCTCGTTTACACCCCTAATTTGAACCACAGATTAATGGTCACCCATATCATTAATTAATTGAGGGGTAATTTCATGCATTTTCTTTTTACTTGTAATTGATGTAAACTTCCACGGACTAGTATCACCCCACGTAAACTCTCAAAAATATTTGACTTATTTTAACGGTTTAATTTTATTTTTCGCTAAGAAATAGCTAAGCTTCAAACGTTTTAAAATTTTACTGAATATCTTGTATCTTCCTAAAATATCAAACCCCAAAAAAAAAAAAAAAAAAATACTATAAAACTTCTTGAAATATTAAAAAAAAAAACTCTATATAAATACAAATTCTACTAATAATGATTTTTTTTTTATATTTTTTTGAAATCCTTATGACACTGAGACTTACTATTTTCAAGGGACGGAATGAAACAATCCATTTTAACCGATAAGATAAAATTGATTTTTTTTTAATTTATAAATGACCAAAAAAAAACATTTTTTTATGCTGATAGATTAAGTTTTTATTTGTTTGTGATCTTAACATATGTCATAAATTTCATTTAATTAGACCTTGTAAAGTTGTAATACAAATGTCATAATTATATATATATATATATATATATATATATAATATAATATATATATATATCTACCATCTACTAATCAATTATAATTTTGTTTATAACAATCTTCAAGGAAACTTTTTAAATAAACAAAGAGAGAATATTTTCATAAATAAACCTCTTACAATATTAGTCTTCTTCAAGTTAATTTTATTGTTATAATTTATTTTTAGTGATGGAATTTTAATTTAAAGAATGTAATTAATTTTTTTTTTCAAATGGAAGGGAATTTTGCATGATATTTACCTAATAAATTAAAGAAGATCACACGATCATATTCTTTTCTTACATATGTTAAAAAACTTTAGAGTTGATATATATATATATATAACAAGTGGCGGACCCAGGATTTTTGCGCAGGGGAGGCCCCCTCGCTCTGCCACTGCTTGTCAATTAACTAGTGAAAACATAAGAAAATACCATTACAAGGAAACACAAGAAAATTGTTATGTGGAAAAAACCTCTTCAGTGTGAAGAGATAAAAACATCACGGGAATCTAACGATCCACTTAAATCTAATATAATTAAAAGAGTTTATTGATGCGTATTTTTGACAAACATGCAAATGTAGTAAGTGCACTAGTCGCAAAAAGTAATAAAGTGATAAGTAGAGTATCGTTCCCACGAGGATAGTGTTATTAAGTACCGATTTCTCTAGTTTAAAACCTAATTGAAGTAACAATAAATTGGATTGATGGAAGATTAACGAACTAAATACAATTTAAGAAAATATAAATGAATTATAATGAAAATTAAAGCAAAACCCAACAACTTAACTAATTAAATAAAATGCTAAAAAAAATGCAAGGGTGTTGATTTCACCTAGATACGCTAACCCAAATCATAAAATCTATTACCCAAGTTCTAATTCCTTGATTGAAAATCGAATTTCCTAAGTTGTAAAACATACCTTCTCAAGCCATATTTTCCTACTTATCCCTATTAAGCTTCCGCACCCAACAAAATGAAGATTAATAGGTCAAAGTTTTTTAAGCTTTATGGAATTCTATCCAGATTTCATAAATCGGTAAACCTATCTTTAGCGTTTGCTTAATCTACGGTATTTATCCCAACAGGCACAATCAATCACTTCTTAGTCTCATTGTCAACAACACACATTTGAATGGTGATCAAGCATCCAAAAGTCATTAAGCAAAGAGATAAACACTCAATCATGAAATTAAAACTCAAAGTAAATTAATTCATATAAATTTGAATCATTGTATCAAGGTTACATCAAACCCTAGCTAAACAACTCAATTCATACTCAAAAACAAAATAAAATAACAAAAACAAACTGAATCAAGATTTATCATTGAAAAACAAGCAAAAGATGGAGAAATCTTCTCTAATTTGAAACCCAAATCTTCAATAATCTTCTCATTCCAAGAGTTGCCTTCCAAATGACGAACCAAGACCTTTTTTCTTTCATTTCCATGCTAATTTATACCTCTTTCACTTAAGGACGAAGCCCTAGCAAGCCAAAATGCGTCATTTTATTTTTTACATCTGACTCAGTTTCGCCACGGCGAAGCTTTTTCCTTACAGCGGCGAGAATATTTCGGGCCAAATTTGAGCATGAAAGAATCTGAATCTGGAAAAATGTTAAACATATGAATTATAGCCCTTTAAATTATCTTTCTACTCGTTCAAGAATCAGCACAATC